GAATTACTGCAAATAGATTACTCGTGTCATTCTCTTATCCTCAAATTCCTATTTTCGGTCAAGAAAGTAAGCCTACACAAAGATTTGATATAGGCACCTCAATTCGAAAGCCGTAAGAATATTTATTTATTTCAAATGGCAGGCGTTTTGATAGTTATCATTAGCGTTTTAGCTGACTTCCGACTTCACAGAGAGGAGGAGGAACGTCAAAGTGACAAAAAGTCGAGAGGGGGATAGAATAATGATTCACAGATGTAAAAGAGACAGACAGACACAAAGGCAGAGAAAAGGTACGATGAGTACTACGAGGGGTCGAATATGACATACAGTCGGGTCATGATATTTCGAAGTCAAAGTCAACTGCCGGTTTGATAGACTTTCTGCCGTATTAGTATACGTTGCCCAGGGTACACCACGTGGACGTAAGTCTATCGCACACCCCAAGCCGAAAACATTAGGTGATGGTTGAGATCATTATTGGTGCTGACTATGTCCGCAAAACAGTAATATGTCATCTCAAGTTAATTTGAATAAAAACAAAGCATAAATCTGCCAAGTTGTCAAAAATAAAATAACGTTTATCTCTGTTTCATAGCCGCAACGACTAACGTAGGCTTCAGTTGGCAAATATTTTAGCTTTTAAAAAGACCCGATTATCTGCAACGCCATATATTAGAACTCTTTCCATAATGTCATTTTTCTTCCTGGCTCAAAAGCAGTGAATCATAACTTTCAAACACCTTAGGTCAAAAGGCTTTATCCTCTCCCAAACCATACTCATACACCTCTACCGGTTAGATAGATATATTGGGGAAAAGTCTAGCAAATTGTATTAGATTGTATTGCTCTACATTGCATATACGTCAATTGCTTCCCCAAATCAAACTGTCATCTACAGTAAATCCAGCAGACCCGCTTCCTCTTGTGATCTCTGTTTACGCAATAAAATTCGATTGGCAACCTTACCCCATTTCAAACTTTTTGTGAGGTTAGGATTTTATTAGATCAAGACTTTCGGCGGCTTAAATAAACTATTATTGTGGCCTTAGGATCCAGGTTAGGTGTTTTTCTTCAAAATTTTCTCCACCAATAAATCTAATGTTATGATTATTTATAAAAAAAAAAGAATCAATTTTAATACTGTGTTAATTGAGAAACCTGCTTTCCAAAAAGAAATAATAGCAGGCATGCCATTCTCGGGCCAGCCTTCTGACAGCAAAGAAAACAATAATGAAGTTTAGTGAAATTATGGCAAGAATTAAGCGTAAAAAGATGCTTTTGTTTCGCTCCATTGTCTCTAAACGAGGGTGAAATTTTATAGAGTTTGATCTCCTTATTTAGTCAAAATAGATAATTCATTGATGATTGGTAAGCCTAACTGCAGTTACGTTTAATAACAAGATCCTGTGATCTATTTTCATGCAGTTATTTTTTAATAGTCAACTCTACGCAAATGAACAAGCACTTGTGAGCTATGAAATTCTAAACAGATGCCTTCTACTTATAACAGAAGTCAGCATATGCGCAGTCCAGAATCGTCACACTACCTTCCCTTGAGTTGGTTTCTACTAACCAGGAAAAGCCAACTTCAAGCAAACACAGACCAGCACTTTTTGAAATTATAAGAGTAGTGCAATCTTCCAGCAATTTAAAATGATTCTTAATTACGAAATTCCATCATTTCAATAAACCAAGAATTGTATTTAACTTCTGATTTTTTCCTAATGTAATAATTCACACTTAAATATTGCCAAAACCAAACTTTCAAATGAAGTATCGTTAAAGTGCAAAAGTGTAAGAAATGAGTCAGTCATTCACGAGTTTAAACAAAAATAATTTCAATTTGCCATAAAATTGAAAAGGCTCCATATTGTTAAGAAAGCTTAGTATATATTTAATTAAAATTAAATCAATGCAAATTAATTACTGACAGGTCTGTTGTTTTCAGTGCACTTCTATCACCTCTGATTGTTAGTCATTCAAAATAAGTCGAAAAATTGTCCAAAGTGTCATAATATATCTGCCTGGTCGAACGGAGTTGATAGTAAATGAGTAAAATGCGTCAATCTCCGTAAGGTTAGAAATCTCTCAGATATCGATAAACATGCAGATTTATTATGTTGCTAATGGTTCGTTTTAAAAAATAATGCTTTAAAACGTGCGATTTTAAACAGCAGCTTGTTTTATACCAGTGGGTTGAAGGTTAATCAACTTTGTTGACGAAATTGGCATAACTGGAGTGGTATTGAGTGGGGCAGACAACAAGCTATAGACAGAGTGGGAAGTGTTTCTATGCCTATTCAAATTACTTAGAGGTGTTCCATTCGTCGAAGCGAGTCCACTGAACCCTGCATTTTTGTTTAACGCAGACTGAACTACGGGAAAGTAGGCTTGACAATAACCCTCAGGAGTGTAGAAATTATGCAGAGACATATTTGAAGGAGCGTAGATAATGGCTGGTTTGATGGACTCACGAGAATCTTCTTGCACCACGGTTGGCGACCGTTGTATTCCCCAATGGAAGCATGCGAATATGATTCCCGAAATAAGTACTCCAATTAATAGAAGACCAATGGCGATACAATTCAATACCCACCCTTTAGCCTTTCGAATGAAGAGGAAAACAGGGCCCTCATTATCAGAAGCATCAAGAATTTGTGTTGAATTCGTAACTGGTTGTGTGAAGTTCACCGCAATCAACATGGAATCAGTAACAACCTCTTCACAAAATTGTTTTTTTAAGTGCTCAATGGCACTAAGTATAATCCGACTGCTGGTCTGCAATGGATCATCTGAGCACATTTCAACCACGCCGTTTACTTGGGACTCTTGTGGAATAGCTAAATGCTTCAATGCTGGATAATTATGACGTGTAAAGGAGAATAAAACGACAGGCAGACTGCCAGTATGAAATAGATCATGATTACCTTCCAATCGCAGTTCGGTTAGACGAGGCAGCCCACGAAAAGCTTCTGGATCAAACCAAGTGAAACGATTCTTGGCCAAATTTAGAACTCGAAGTTTGACTAAGACAGGTTTATTCTCATTTCCGCCTGACCATTTACAACCAATTATTTCCGTGAGATAATTGCTAGCGAGGTCAAGTATTTCTAACTGAGGAACAGATAGTAAGGCTGAAGAAGAATTTGGTGAATTAACGCCCAAGGCATTTTCAAGAGAACCGGTTAGATGATTGCCAGAGATTCGTAGGAGACGTAATTCCGACAGTCCAAGAAGGCTCTCTTCATATAAGCCAGTAATTTTATTATTTTGCAGGTAAAGGTTTCTCAGTGGATGGTTTCCAAATACTCTCGGTTGCAAAACATCAATGAGTTTATTATTACTTAAATCCAAAGTAGTCATTTGACTAGGCAGTGGTTCAAGAGTACTCAAACTGAGGCGTTTCAGAGACTTACTATCTGTTATAGATAAAAGCTGAAGATTTGGTAAAAATATGAGAAGGTTTTTTTCAATATATCGAAGATTTCCAGCTCGAATGACAAGGCGCTGAAGATTATAGAGGGGGTGGAATAATTCTCGTTGAAGGTGAGTTAGAGGACCTCCTTCCCAAATGGCCAAGACTCTCAACTGACCACAATGGTTGAAAAGAGTTTGCCTGAGAGAAAAAGTGTCACTTTGGTTCTGTTCAGATAGCACCTCGAGATGAAGCGTGTCCCAGTTTGGCTTGCATGAAATTAACGTAGCTGATGAACGAATCCAGCATTCTGCAATTATTTTGGACCCATTTTCAGCGGAAGCTGTATCCCTGCAGGGGAGAGCATCTGATGATTCCATGTTAGCTTTGCAGGCGCCTTGAAGAAGGAGCAATAAGCCAAGGCCGAATAGTTTCATGATTTCTGTAATCGGCAATGCATTGCTCAGAGGAATATCGGGAATGCATGCAAATCACCAACTACGGTGTTTACGTTTGAAGGCACAAATACACTGAAATGGCATTGGTGCAAGCTTGCACATACGTCCGCATGAATCTCCGCGTCTGTTTGTTAGTAATTTAAGACTTATTGGCTATAACTCGGCGTAATCGTGGGACTGTTTAATTTCACTTGGAGTGCAGAGCACTTTTATATGAATGCTGTAACTGCCCATGCATTTGACTGTATTCACTTATAAAACGTTGGTAATTTTTATTTGCTGATTCCTCATTACTTCGCGGCAAGATGTACGAATTGTTTACCAAATTATTCGCTAATGTTTTGCCTTTTAATAAATAATAGTATCCTTAAACTAAGAAGGAAATGAAAAGAACCGTTCCTCCCTTCTCCTCAATTATTTGAATTTCGCAAATCGAGCGCAAGCTTTCTTGCGATCTCAGATGAATTCGAAAGGTTTTTTTCTTAAATAATGCGTAGAATAACTAGATTTCATTCTCCTTTCCCCAATGCGAATTTCTTATTAAAATACATGTGCTCACTTGACATCTTGACAGCACAAAAACACATAGGTATTGTTGATATTAATACCATAGTCGGAAGAAGCAGACCTTGCTGTGAGAGTAACGACGCCAATTCAAATATGTGATTTACCATAACAAAACAAATATATATATATATATATATATATATAATTAGCTCAGTTGCTTACATTATGAATATTAACTAAATATTTTCGCATAGTAGAACATTACGTTGCTTTCCTTCGGTGAATTATAAAACTAAATTCATTACCTAATTCATTAATTTGCTTCGTATTTTATGATGGATTAAACTCAGCCTCTTAATGACCGAAACCCAAATTAGTAGGTCTATTCAACTGAACTAATGTAATTTCTTATTGATGAATGATTAAATGACCGTAAATATATTATTTTGTCAAACTCTTTGCTATGAAGTGCTGGGCTTGAAGCATCCAACTTCGAGGGAAGGTTTGCATAGAGTAACAATTATAATGAAGATCATTCGAATCAAGGTAGCCATTCAAGAAGCGTACCTTAAAGAATGGAGTGCTTTCATAAAGGGCGGAACCGTGCACCTAAATTTGCTTTACCCTTTGAACAAATAGTCCGTACTTCCCAGAGACCGAATTGTCATAAAACATCCTAAGTTCACTTTACGATGAGTTAATGAAACTTGTGTCGGTTTTATGAGAAACTCTCAATGTGCCTCTTATTGATGTGAATTGGCTAATGAAATTGGCCATCGCATCGCTGGATTTACACTGTTGGTATTGTTCTTGTATATGTTTAGTTAACGAACGCCCACAAGTAATTAAATATTATATATATATATATATATATATATATATATTACATTTAATCACCATTAAACGGTGTTGTCATACGCAATGAAGGAGGTAGTTCCTATCAATCTGATCCCCACACTCAGTGACTACCTTCACCCTTTTTAGATATCTCCAGATCCGAAGTTAAAAAACGTTAAAGCGAAAGTGCAAATGGATAATAGTGGTAAGTATGGGTCAGGAATCTGACCACCTCATTCTTTTATTAGTTAAGCTCCAAGTTTTCTACCGACTGCGCTTCATTCGCATTATGGTTAACACGCTCATCTGTAAAGTTAAACGATGTGTCTTACCCAGTAAACGCGCTGGTATAGTCTTTCTCCTCTTTGCTTTTCATTTCTTGAATCACCTGATGCCTCCTATCGGTAGCTGAATCACAGTGTTCAATTCATTTCTCATTTCCCCGTTTCCATCAGTCCACTTCTTCTGTCCTGTCCTACAGTTAGATCATTTCATCATCACTTTCGCCCACCTGCTTTAATCTCTTCTTACTCATTCCTCTCTCATTCCTCACCTTCTCCCCAACCTCCCCTAAAGGAAATAGCCGCTCTCCACGTTTCGCATTTTGTCTGATATCGCAATGAATGCTTGTGCTATATTCATTAATAGCATGCTGGTGTTGAAGAAGCTGTATAATTGTCGAAGAATCTTAGTGAAGTATAATTCATTGGCCACATTATTTGCCCAATCTGGGCAATTTTCGAATAGCCTGCATTTTAAGCCATACACTTCAACTAGGTTTATGTTGCTAAATGAAATAAGGTGCACTTTAAGGGTTTATAGAGGTCGTAATTTTCACAGACTGTCATCAATCCAAATGGTTGTCAGTGAAGTGTCTTTGCCCCAATCATATTCCCGCAGTAACTCAATCATGGCCCTTCTGCTTAATTGAGGCTAACTTCATGCTTGTAGATGGAAATCTAAGATTTAATAAAGCATCTTTTTGTCCTCAAGTAGAAGCTCGTGAACTTGGAGAAAAATTGAAACTTATGGACCCATGGCAATTAAATCTACCATTTTAAATTTTTAACTGGAGAAATGGATTAAATTGTTTACTAGTATTCCATATGCGGCATCTTCACTATTGAAGTTCAGCAGTCAGATTTAAATTTGTGCCGAGGTAGGCTTAAAGATGGTTCCAAAGCACTCCAATATTCCTGTTTAAGATGAACTGGAAATAGCCAATTTTCTCAGCAGAAAAAGAGAGGAGTTGGGTTTGGCTCTCTGATGTGCAAAAATATCAGAGAAAAGAGACTGGAAGTGGAAGAGTGCACATTTGGCCTTAAAAGTTTGGGAAAGGGTGAATTTAATTTGAAGGCCTAAATAGCCTGAGTGAATGCGAACACTTGGATGAAGAGTAAAAAGCAAAGTACAATGAGAGAATATGCACCGTTTGCTTTACTTCATTCGACAATATTTGATAAGTTAGGCAACGGATCCGTGCTTCGTCATTTGTGCGCAACCGATTCGCATTTTCCTCACTTTGTTGCTCCTAAGAAAATTAAGGCAAACTTTTTTGTATTTGTCCTGCTAACTAGAGTATTAGGACTAACCTTAGGGAGGATGCGATTGGCTATCCATCAACGAATAAGTACGGTTTTGAAAAAGTTCAACAATCATTCCCGATGAAGTTGAAAGGAAGAGCCAAGTTTCAAAATAAAAGAGGTGGCTGTTATGAGGCATGCTTTTAAAGAAAAATATAAATTCTTATTTAAAAGCTGAATGTGTGCAAACGTGTTAATATCAAATTAGGCTAACAATGCTCAAATTCATGTACAGATCACCAGATTTAGTATATAAGGCGGCCTGTCTCAATGCTCATTAATAAACAGAATCATGTCGTTTCCCAATTGTGTTTAATTAATTATAAAATACGCACTTTGATTGATGCTTTGTCTTAGGATTTGAGCTTCGTGTTTTGGGGTCAGTAAAGGAACCGATTACTCTCATCACGTACTGATCGGGTTCTTATATCACTGTCCAAGCGACGGAGATGTTAATATTTTCCACAGAAAATATTAACGCTGATCAAACGTAGTGGACGAGATGGAATTGAAAAAATGAAGATTAAATATTTAGGAAACTCTTTGAAATAGAAGGCCTCTTTCCCATTTAATTTCACAATTTAAAACCTCATGCCAATTTCCTTTATCTATGACTTCTAGGGGATTCTGAAAATCTATCCGTCGGGAGATTTAACTTTGGGGGGGGGGGGGTTGACGTTTTGCTCAAATAATTTTAAAGTTATATTGCTTTACCACCCCCTTTGGACGATATTTTCTGTTAGATGTTCAAAATTTCCTTAAAGGAGATAATAAGTAGAGTCATTACTTCTTGAAATGGATGCAATGTCATATACCCTTGTGTCACTAATATCGTTCAAAGGCTCTGGTAGAATGGGATGTTTAAGGCTCTATTCTTTTTCATAATTATTTCAATTGAGGAATCATACTCGGCGTATAATGCCTTGAGATTTAGTATTCGCGGCTTTTCGCTTAAGTTTCTGAAAGCTGTCCACTGAATCTTGAATAAACTTGCAACCCGCATTTCACTTGCTATTTTTCACAGCTTTGATGACACCGGGGTGGGAAGGTTTGGCATCCGAAAGAATTTGATTGATCGAAATTGTCTCTTTCTTTTCAACTATCTTCCTGTTATCTGCAAGAACTTATACCGTTTTAGTGAAATGCAAGCTCATAATTAGACTTTCTAATTCCCCTATTTTGGTTTTGATTTCATTTTAATATATTTATGATTTCAGTCTATTGAACATCAGTCCTCAAGGTGTTACGCTCTCTCCCCTCTCTCTCCCGTACAAAGTATTTCAGAATAACTAGACTATGAGTGGATATGCAACACAATCAACCATTTTAAGCAAATTATTAATTCCCCCCTACCTGAGGTTACACACGACCTGAGACATTTATTACAATGAACATTCTGCAATTCGGGAGATTAAAGCATTCTAAACAATACAAATATTCATTTTTCGAATCTTATGTACTCATTAGCTCCCTTAACAGTTTTGCCATACTTTTATTTTACTTGTTTAAATTCAATTGTGTCGTTTCTGTAAGACTGGTTAACTGCGCATGAGGTCTACATGTTTGAATTACGATACTTTAGTGAATTCCACAGCAGGTGCAGTTAGTCATCTCCAGGATTATTTCCAATGTGAAAGTGATTCACAAAATAAAAGGAAAAAAGAAATTTAGTAGTGGTATTTTTTAAGCCGAGTAAAGTTGGGAATTGGCTTGATCCGATGATATTCCAAATATCAACTGGTATTCACTTGTAAATGCCGCTAATAAAATAAAAACACTTTAGGCAAATATTATACGGTTGGACACTGATAATGCTGCCTTGCATTGAATTTATTTTTAAAAATATATTCTTTATTACTGAGAGAAAGAAGAGCAGCTCAGTTGCTACCTCAAATGAATTAGTGTTCCTATAAAAATAATCTCAAATTAAGACTCTCCATTTAGTGCCTTTGTTTATCCATGATTAGAAACAGTAAGTTCTGGAAGCCCTTCTAACGAGTCAGTTTTCTGCGCTGCAAAAATTATGCCAACCAGACCACGCAAACTTTTATT